ATTTCATCATGTGTATGTGCTCGTGTGTGTGTCTGTGTGTGTGTGCCTGTGTGTGTGTGCCTGTGTGTGTGTGTGGTAGTAGGGATTGAACCTAGGAGCTTCACACTGAGCTAGATTTTCATTTTTTTTCCCAGTACCAGATCGAACTCAGGATCTTGTGCTTGTCAGGCAGATGCGGTACCACTGAGCTAAATCCCTGGCCTTTACATTCCCATTTTTTTTTTTGTATCGGGGATCAAAATATTCCCATTTTTTTGAGACAGGGTCTTACTAAGTAGTTTAGGGTGGCCTTGAACTCATTATGAGGCCAGGCTGGGCTTCAACTCACAGAGATCCTCCTGCTTCAGCCTCCTGTGTGCTGGGATTACAGGCATGTACCACCATGTCTGGCTCTTCCAGTCCATTTTTAATTTTCTATTTTGAGACAGGTTCTTGCCAAGTCACTAAATTGCCCAGGCTAGACTTGAACTTGCAACCTCCTTGTCTCAGCCTCTCAAGAATGCTGAAATTATTGGGCTGGGTGGGGATTTAGCTCAGTGGTTCTGTGCCTTCCTGGCAAGCACAAAGTCCTGAGTTCAACCCCACGAAAAAAAAAAAAAAAGGATGGGGGATTTAGCTCAGTGGTTCCACCACTTGCCTCTAAAGGGCAAAGTCCTGAGTTTGATCCCCGGTACCAAAAAACAAAACAAAGGACTCAAAAAAAAAAAGGATTCTGGAATTATAAGCATACATGCTGTACAACATATGGCTTCATCTTATATCTTATATTTTTATGACATAAGCATCTGACATTTCAGAATGGATTTTAAAATTTTTTTGGTGGGGTAGTACTGTGGCTTGAACCCAGAGCCTCACAGATGCTAGGCAAGTGATCTGGTGCTAAGTTATATTCCCAGCCCTTTTTTGTTTGTTCGTTTGTTTGTTTTTTGGTACTGGAGATCGAACTCAGGTCCTTGTGCTGGCAAGGCAGGCGGTGGAACCACTGAGCTAAATCCCTGGCCCTCATTTTGTTTTTTTGAGACAGGCTCTCCCTAGGTAGTCTAGGCTGGCCTTGAACTCACGGTGATCCTCCTACCTCAGCCTCCAAAGTCCTGGGATTACAGGTGTGCACCACCATACTCGGCCTTTCTTTTTCTTTTTTTGGTACTAAGAATCAAACTCAGGGCCTTGCACTTGCCAGGCAGGCACTGCACCGCTGAACTACATCCCTGGTTCGGCCTTTTTATCTTATTTTATTTTGAGACAGGGTCTCGCTATGTAGTTCAGGGTGGCCTTGTATGCACTATATAGTCCAGGCTGGCCTTGAACTCAAGGCAATCCTCCTTCCTGCCTCAGCCTCCTGAGTAGCTGGGATCATAAATGTGCTCTGCCATACTTTGCAATTTTAAACTGTTTATTAGCCAGTCAGATTTTCTTCCCTAATTCAGGCCTGTAAATTGTTTGGGATTTTTTTTTTTTTGGAAACAAGGTCTCACTGTGTAGTTCAGGCTGGCCTTGAACTCCAACCATCCTCCTGCTTCAACTTCCCTAGTGCTGATATATACAGGCATGTGCCACCACACCCAGCCTGGGATTTCTTTTTTTTTTTTTTTCTTTTAATGAAAGAAAGAATTTTGAGCTTTCTGAAGGTAAAAGTATACATTAAATTCTTATTTTTAGCTTTAGCAGATAAGCATATGGGAACAGACACTTAATATTCGATGAAGTGCAGGAGGCTGAAGAAGTAGAAACTGAAGGTAGCTGGAATAGAGGGTTTCAGGAACGGGATGTGTCTCCTCCTTGGCTAATGGGTACAAGGAAGCATCCAGGAAGAGCCAAGCTAGGATACAGCCCACAGGAGAGGAGGAGGGGAGTACACGGGCTCCATTGTCCAAAATAGCTCTTGGTAACCTGAGGAATTAGAGTCAAGGGTTGAGCCGGGGTCACGTGCCTGGGTCTGGCACCAGGGTGGAGGTGAAAAGGAAGTTGCCAGCCTGGTTCTCTGGGCAGCTGGAAAGAGGAGGAAGGACTAGAAGAGTTATTTTTAAGAGTTTTTAGAGCAAGAAAGAAGGGATGTGATGCAGGTTGCACTGATACTTCCAGGGCTCAGCGTGAGGAGGACAGAACTGATGACTAAGTCCTCTCTTTCAGACAAGCATAGATTCAACTACTGAATTTATATTTGGCTAACTCTAGGAGGATGCTTACCTTTCTTTAATCTTTGGTTTTCATTCTTCTGATAAATTTTAAGACTCACTATGTGCACAGTGATGTCTCTTTCTGAGGAGCTTCTAACTTAACAGAAGGATACACATATATCCACGAAACAAAGAATATAGGACAATAGACCCTTCAATCCAGAGGGCCTTCTGGAGGAGGTGTGTTTTGAGTCAGTACTTAAGGAAATTGTTTAATATAGAATGGCAGGGCCATGGCCGTAAATTGGTTGTTTCAAATACTGAGAGTGAACTAGGAAAGGTTTAAATGGCAGTAATTAGCTAATCTAATTAGTAGGGGGACAGCAAGCAAATGGGCTTGGCAGGCCTGCTGGACCTTGGGGATTCTGCAGCAGTTAACTCGGTTAAGATGGAATGTTAATGAGGTCACAGTTCAGTCTTGTATCCTAGTTAATTTCTGTCTTTTACCCAGTCAGATCCTTAGTCCTCACTCTAAGCAGATGTCTCTCCCTTTAGTCAGAGGAGGTGGGTCCGGGGATAGGGTGAAGTTAGAATGAATCTCTTTCAAGGTCATATACCCACTTGAGGGCAGCTCCAGATTGCTTTTTTTTTTTTGGTACTGAGGATTGAACTCAGGGCCTTCACACTGAGCTACATCCTCAGTCCCTTTTCTAGTTTTTATTTTGAAATAGGTTTTGCCAAATTACCTGGGTTAGGCTTGAATTTGCAGTTCTCCTGCCTCAGCTTCCCAAGGGCTGGGATGATACATGTGTACCTCCATGCCCACCATAGATTATCATCTTTGAAATGGAAGGAGATACTGTACGATAGTGGGGAGGGAGATGGGGGGATAAAGCCATAACAGGCCCTCCCTGAAACACTGAGAGGAAAAGATGTTAAGAGAGAAAAAGGAGATCATTCTATCCTTGGGGTTTCAGGTACCTCTACTAGGTGGAGGAAAGGGGATAAAAGGAAAAGGAAAGGTGATATTCATTTGGTCAGTATTTTTTAAAATTTGCTTTTGGTGCTGGGCCTCTGCATGCTAAATGGGTATTCTACCACTTAGCCACACCCAATAATTATTTATTTAACTAGTAAGTACTTACTGTTATGGAGGTACACTAGTTTTGGGTTGTTGTTTTTTTAACAGATTTGGAGAGACTGGTGATGTAGCTCTGTAGTAGAGCATATTTCTTGCCTCTGTGGCCCTTGGCTCAATCCCTGCACCAAAAGTGTGTATGTGTGGGAGGCTGGTGATCATCCAGACCTGGCTTCCAGCTTTGCCACTTAACTGTGAGGAGTTTCCCTGTACAGTAGACAGGGGTGAAAGTAACTTCCTAACAAAAGGTTAAATGTGAGCTACAAAGAGTTAAAGGGATGGTTCCTGCTAATTTGAAATCCAGAGAATATGGGGTCTAACTTTAAATCAATTCGTATCTAACAGCAGGAAGTCCCAAAATTAATGCTAATTTCAACGAACTGAAGGATTTATATATGCTTGCAGGGCCCTGTTTCTGGGCAAGATTTCTCCCCTCCACATCAATTAGACGCGCACTGCAACACAGACTTTATTCTATCCTCTGCTACCCTCCCCACAATGCTTCTTAGACAAAGCTCTCCTTGCATGTGGAGAACTTGACTAAAGATTTAGAAAGAAGATGAAGGCTTGCATCCCAGCAGCTTAAGTCTTTTAATTCAGCATCAGGCCAGCCATGATGAGATTTCCCTGTAATTCCACCTACTTTACTTTGGTGGCTGGGGCAGAACTGCAACAGTGAACCCAGCCTGTGCCATTTAGTAACTTAACAAGATCCTGTCCTAAAAGACAAAAAAAGGGCTGGGGATGCAGCTCAGTGTGAAGGCCCTGCATTCAATCCTCAGTGTAAATAAATAAAATAAGCAGCAGGGCTACCAGTCTTTTTTTTGAGACAGGGTTTCACTATGTAAGTCAGGCTGGCCTGGAACTCGAAGTGATTCTCCTGCCTCAGCCTCCTGAATGCTGGGATTATGACACTAAGTCCGGCACCAGTTTTAGAATGTCCTTTCTGCATTCCACCATGGGAGAATTCCCATTGCTCTTGCACCACCTAGATCCACTCCTTTTTTTGCTGACCAATCTCTGTCTGTCTCTGTCCTGCTTTTGTTCTCCCCACTTTTACCAAGAGCAAAAATCAATTGTTTTCTGGAGTCATGGAAAGTAGTATATTGATATTTAATTGCCTGGTTTTCTGTTTGTGAAGTCTCTTCCTTCATTGGATGCACACTTTTCCAGACAAAGATGGTTCTTTCCCTTGAAAATAAATCTGGCTCTTCTCACCTCAACTTGCTCCTGTAAAATTAAATGAGAAAACTATGCCAATTCTTCGCCTTAATTTCCTTTTCCAAAGACGCAAAAGCACAGCGCCAAGGACTGTGGAGGCCACAGCGATGCACAGAGCTTCCAGCCGAAGGGGCAGAATATGATAAAGGCGAGGAGAGGCGTCTAGAGGACACACAGAGGCCTGCCGCCGACCCGCCCACGAAGTGACCTCTGTGCCTACGTATCAGGTCCTGTGACACGACTTGCCAAGCAGTTTCGGTCCGGCGACCTCGCTGCCCCCAAGCCATCTAAGCAGCTTCTCAGACGCACGCCCAACGCCCTTTCTCGCCAGAGGTGGAAACTACATCTCCCGACAGGCAGAGTCGCCCCCTCCTTCTTCCCTCTTGGTCCCGAGCCCCGGCGGCCGCGTGACCCGAGGGGACCCGAGCTGCAGTCGCTGCTTCAGTTGTAGCTCCCCGGCCAGTCAGGCGGGAGTGGGGCGAGTGGAGCCGCAGCCCCGCGCCGCTCCCGCCCCCCCCCCCCGCCCCCGCGCTCGGGGGCGCTGAGCCGCCCAGCTACCCTTCCGCGCTCCTGCTCCCGAGCGAGCTGGGCGCAGCCCGCAACCCAGCCGCGAGCGCCGGGCGGGGGAGCGCGCATGGCCTCTGCGGGCGCTCGGCGGCTGCCGGCCGGGATGCACGCGGCTGCCCAGCACCCTGGCTGCCTCTCGCTCCGCCCGGCCCCGCCCCTAGGCCCTCCGGGATCGCTGGGACCAATAAGGTAAGAAGGCGCTACGGACGTCCAAGCGCGAGCCAGGGGGTCGCCGGGCACCCCGAAATCTGGCCGAGAAGGGCGGCGGCCTTGGGATGCAGGCGCGGCCAGGGCCGGCAGCGGTGGTGCCCTGGGAGCTAGACCGGAGCTTTGGAGGATGCTTTTGCAAGTTACACCCTCGGGGTGGGTGCTCACCACTTCTTGGCCCTCGAGGGCGCCCTGGCAATAGGGGGTCTGACAAGGCCCCGGGGGCAGTGATGCTTCCTGAGTCTTTGCTTTCTCACCAGAAATGTAGCCCCAAAGGCAACAGGCGCCCCGCTAGCGCCCCTTTTTCCCATCCCCACCTCCAGCAGTGTCCTTAGCCGCCCTCGACCTTTCGGACTCGTGACTGGCTGGCTGGGGATCCCGGAGAGCTGCAGCAGGTGCTGGGAGAAAAGCTTGTCCGGATGACCTCACTCCCGGATGCGCCCCTCTTCCTCTTCACCTGGAAATGGCTAAACACAAAACGAATCCTGACGTTGCTTCTTTCCTTTTGGTCTTAGGCTTCTGATCTCCTGCAGCCTCTTCTTGCCTCGCGCTGCGCAGGCCTTGGCAGCTGAGGCCGGTTTACCCCGGAGTCGTTCCTTCATGGGCTTTGCTGCCCCCTTCACCAACAAGCGAAAAGCCTACTCGGAGCGCAGGATCATGGGGTAAGCATCTTGTTCTGCCCTCCAAAGTAACCATACCCAGGGTAGAATGCGAGGGTACCAGTGGTGGGCAGCATTCATCCCTGGCCATCCCTTCTGAGCTATATTACTGATCCTTTTTATCTCCCCCTGGCAGCCTTCTTGCCTGAATTTCCATCCTTCAGTTATGTTACCATGCTTGTGCATTAAGTGGAACAGTAGGCAAATACCAAGACAATAGAGCATTGCTTCTCTAATTGCCTCTCCCCACTTCAGTCCTTGGAACTGAAGCACAGGACCTTCACACTGAGCTATATCCCAGCTCTTTTTACTTTTTAGTATTTTGAGATAGGGTCTCATTTGCCAAGTAGCCCAGCCTGAGCTCTAGCTTGCTGTCCTGACTCAGCCCTCCCAGAGTGCTAAGATTACAGGGATGTGCCACCATACATGTTTGTTTGATACTGTGGATGGAACCCAGGACTTTGCACCGAGCTATTCCCCTGCCCCCCACTTTGAGATAGGGTCTGTTCTCCAGCCTGGGCTCAAACTTGCCATCCTCCTGCTTCAGTCTCTCAAAGCTGGGACTTTAGGCTCACCCCACCTTGCCTGGTTTTGACTTGACTTTTTAAAGCACAATAGAATAGTTTTAATTTATTGAGCACCTGCTATGTGCTAGCAGCTAGGCTGCTTAGGTATTTTACATAAATTTTCTCATTCAATTCTCAACAAACCTATAAATCAGACACTCTTTTTTAAATTATTATTTATTTATTTTTGGTACCGGGGATCGAACTCAGGTCCTCGCCCTTGCGCAGGAGGCCACGAAACCACTGAGCTAAATCTCCGGCCCCTATCAGACACTCTTATTACCTCTAATATATAGATGAGAAAATGGAGGCACAGGTAATTTACCTAGGGTCACATTCTAGAATTTGTAGAGCCAGGACCTGATGTTTATGTGATTGGTTAAAACTAAGTACTCTAGGGCCGGGGATCTGGCTCAGTGGTTCCGCTGCCTGCCTTGCAAGTGCAAGGTGCTGAGTTCAATCCCTGGTACCAAAACAAAAAAAACTACTCTCATTCCTCTTGGGATCAAAATAATGAATGCAAAAGCAAACTGTAAATCGTAAGTCAACATTAATATCATGGGGACTTGCAGGTTTGCTTTCAGGAAATCATTTATCCAGACTTACCTATCCAGGTGTCTAGTTCCTAAGGTATATGGTTAGTGGGCAAAGGTGTGAGTTGAGAGCCAATGGTGAGGAAACTGACTCAGCTGGCAGTCCCTTGGCCTGTGATTCTTCTTCCCCTAGGTACTCAATGCAGGAGATGTATGAGGTGGTAGCCAACGTCCAGGAGTATCGTGAGTTTGTGCCCTGGTGTAAGAAGTCTCTGGTGGTGTCCAGCCGAAAGGGTCACCTGAAGGCTCAGTTGGAGGTTGGCTTTCCACCTGTCTTGGAGCGCTACACCTCTGCAGTTTCCATGGTCAAACCTCACATGGTCAAGGTGAGGCCTATCTAGGAGGGAATAATTTAAAAGTTGTATTCCTTAGTACTTTCACATTCAAGGGCTATTTTGGCTTTTCTTGAATCTCTATGTGACAAATATTTCTTCCCAAGGGAAGAAAACTGGCTTTTGTTTTGGTGGTGCTAGGGACTGAACCTAGGGCTTCATGCATGCTGGCAAGTGCTTTACTGTAACCCCTATTTCCTTCTTATCACCTCATATACTTAGTAATATGATTTAACTAGTGGATTGTACTATTTATTCTAGGCTGTTTGCACTGATGGAAAGCTCTTCAACCACTTAGAGACTATTTGGCGATTCAGCCCTGGTATTCCTGCCTATCCCCGAACCTGCACTGTGGACTTTTCGGTGAGTCAGGAGGCTTCATAACACAAGTCTAGGACTGGGGGTAAAAGCAGAGCAGAGGCACTGTTAACAGGGCTATTCTTTAGGTATAGTTAGCATTTAACCAGGTGTGGTGGCACACATCTGCAATTTCAGCACTTGGGAGGCTGAGGCAGGAGGATTATAGTGAGTTTGAGGCCAACCTGGGGTAGAGTTGAAAGCCATACATAGCGAGACCCTGTCTCAAAAAAAAAAAGTTCTAAGTATTTCCCAATGCTTGGTTTATACAGGTTTGAGTTTGTATTATGTTCAGTACTAAGTTAGGCCTCTTCAGGGGATGAGAAACTGGAGTAGGCTGGGGAGAAAAGGCATGAGAACAGACTCTGCATATGGCCAGGGACTATCTGACATAGCCTTGAAGTGTTACTGACTATTTCTTACGCTTTCCCAGATTTCCTTTGAATTTCGCTCTTTCCTGCACTCCCAGCTGGCCACCATGTTTTTTGATGAGGTTGTCAAACAGAATGTTGCTGCTTTTGAGCGCCGGGCAGCCACCAAGTTTGGTCGAGAAACAGCCATCCCTCGTGAACTGATGTTCCATGAGGTGCACCAGACTTGAGGCAAGGGATTGTTCCCTAGCCTCCGCTTACTCCTCTTCCAACCCAATTCTCTTATTTATTTGGTTTGGCTCCTACTCCAATCTGAGGAGTCTGTTCTTCCTAATTCCCCAGAAATTAGGCCCTGCACTGGTTGGAAATCCTGGGGAAAGACAGAGGTTATGGAAACTACACATGCCTAGGAAAGAGGTTTATCCTAAAAGTCCGGTATGTTTGCAGCCTGTTCACACTGTGTGGTTGTCTCTGGGTCCTGTCAGGACACCTCAGTAGCTGACCAGGAAAAGAATAACTTCTTGAACCCTTGAATAAATTTGGGTTTTTTCTCTGGCAGAGATACTGGGTAGTAAGTAACTTTTGCCCTGCCTGAGACTCCTCAGGAAAAAACACAACCCGTCTTCAGCTTGAAATCCACCTTGCCTCAGTTCAAGAACATTTCCAAGCATTTCCAATATTTCTAAGCCGAGTGTGCAGGTATATGCCTCTAATCCCAGCACTCGGGAAGCTGAGGCAGGAACATCACTAGTGTGAGATCAGGCTGAGCTATATAGTGAGTTCAAGGCTGGCCTGGACTACATAGTGAGATTCTGTCCTAAAAAAAAAAAAAAAAAGAGGAAACAGTATTTCTGTGCTGCTGCTGAGTAGAGTGAGTAACTGTCTTACCGTATCAGTGCCACAGGGCCAAAGAAAAACACCAAACAGGGCTGGGGATTTAGCTCAGTGGTCCCGCCACCTGCCCTGCAAGCGCCAAGAACCGGAGTTTGATCCTTGGTACCAAAAAAATAAAAACACTAGAGTTGTCTTTGTATTTTTGGATTGCACCTTAACTCTTCCACTTGGCCTAAATTTTTATAAAATTTAAATAAATTGTGACAGTGTGAATTTGCCTATTTTGTATTGTTTTTTGGGAGAATGATATAGGTATAGCAGAATAGAAGAAAATCATGGCTTTTTCCCTGGAGGTGTAAAGGTTTAAGAAAGTCTCTTGGACACAGTGTCCCTGCTAACTATAGTAGCATTCTACACGCCAGGACCTAGTGCCCACCTCCTTGCCTATTTATAGACTTTTCCAGAAGGTCACTTGCAGAAGTCTCAGGACAGAATCATCTGGTCTCAGACCTCCCATATATCTGGCACGGTCAGGACCACCCTTTGTCATCTTTGAGGGCTGCTTACTAAGGAAAGCTGCAAAGTAGACAGTGCTGGACATCCCAGAGCCCTCTAGTGTTCAGGTCCTGAGCTAGCACTTCTGGTCCTTTTGTCCTCAATAGGCTTTGCTCCTTTCACCTAGTAGGCTTGACCAGTTCTTGGATTAGTCATGAAGCAATTGTGAGGTCTCAGATATGCTCTGTGAATGTTCGACATTATAACAAAATTAGGAAGGATGAGGGCTAAAGGTAAAGGACTTCCTAACCTCAAGGAAAGGCAGAAATCTCCTTTGGGAACCTCAAAGGGAACCTTTCCCCTGAAGGCCAAATCTGCCTTAAGATAAAGGGATACACAGGATAACACACCTGTTAAGTAGGTTCAGGACCTCACTATGTATATTCCTTATCTCATAATAAAAGATTATTCCAGGCCTTATTTAATAGCAGGCTCAAGCATTGTTAATAAAAAACATTTTTTTTTATTTTATACAGAACAACCTGAAGTCTGCATAATGACTTGACAGTTACCCAGGGGTTTACAGTGTGTCCATCTCAACAGCGTGGTTTGGGGATCCACACAAACGCAGGCAGGTGCATCAAAGGAAGAAAGGGACACAGCAGGAGTGTATCTCAATCCTTTCTCAAAGAAAAGGCAGTAGAGCATTCTGAGTCACTGAAAACCTGTGCAAATGGGACTTCTAAAACACACACTGTACTGTGAGCTCTTGGGGAAGGGGCAGGAAAAAGACACTGATAAATAAGGGAGCACTTTCAATGGCAGGGGATGAGAAAAGAGGCTTACTACAATGAATGTCCCCAGCCCATAGACCTGATATTCAAACGAGACCATATTTAATCTTGAATCATCTCTGCTTTACAGGAAATGCTTGTACCTCTGGAACCAGACCGTGAAGGGGCTGGACATTCCTGAGCCCCTATTCTATGCCCCATAGCATATTTTTTTTTTGGTACCGAGGATCGAACTCAGGTCCTTCTGATTGCAAGGCAGGCGCCAGAACCACTGAGCTAAATCCCCAGCCCCCCCATAGCATATTAACAGGAAAAAGGTCAGATGGTAGTGGCTTGAGTTCTGCAGAAGTAAAAAGCTTAGTTCACATTAAGTGCTCTTAAATCCCAGTGACTGGGAAAGACCACAGATCAGACAGACCTACTGAAAGAGGCCTTTAGTTGGGACAAAGAGGGGAAGGTCCAGGGTATCCTCAGCTTGAGGCAGAACAGGTATAACAAGTCTGGAAAGAGGTATTAAAGTAGTGGAAAACAGAATACTTCCAGACCTTAATTTTAATGGGATAACTTTAAAAAGAAAATCAAATGAAACACTGGGTGCAAACACAACAAATGCCATGCCTTCATGGTCACTTGGTAGCATAAAAAGAAAAACTGCCGATGTCCAGCTACCCAACAGGTCTTACTAGGAGGTGTCCATGTGCATGGGAGAGGGCTAGGTAGAGCTGATAATCCCAAATATCTCCATGGAAACAGCAGGGGTAAGGTCCTGGTTTCCTGGCCTAGAGGGCTGGGCAGAGTAGAAGCAAAAGCTCCAGAGTGACTGCAGATTGTAACCTGCTTAACCCAGAGAAAGAGGAGCCAGATTCTTACTCTAGAAATGGTGGGGGCCAAACCTAACCCACATCACATGCATTAGTCCTGGTCATCCAACTCATCCCAGGCAGGGGAAGGGAGCTAGTTAGGAAGAAGGGACCACTTTTTATCTTTAAACTCTTAATTTATATTTTAACTTCAAACTTATTTTCAGTGCCTCAGATACAATTTAATCTTAAGTCTTTAAAGGCCCCCTGATTCAAAAGTATACTATTTTTTGTTGTTATTAAGCTTCCTTATCTTCTGGTAGTCAGTTTCCCCCCAGTCTCCAAGTTTTACCCTGACTTAGAGTCCACAAACTTCATCAGACCATCTGTGCTCATGGATTTAGGCCTTTCTAGAGGGAAGCCTAAGGCTCGGCTCCAGATGAGCTGCGCTAGCACACCCAGTGCCCGTGACACTCCAAACAGGACTGTGTAATAATTCATCTCCGTCATGCCGTAGTACTGCAAGGCAGAAGAGAAAAAAAAGGTCTTGTTAAAGGCACACAGGGAATGGCATACACAAGTCCAAGGCAAAAGGAACCTTTAAGGTTCCATTTCCCCCTTTTTCTCCAGGGAAGTCCAGTCAGGCCTAAATAGAAATGATACCGGGAAAAGTATAATTGGGATTCTGAAAAGAGAGCAATCCCAGCCCCCAACTTCTATTTTGGGCAACTTTATCAAAAGGCTAGGTGGAGGAGGTGGTACAAGAGTCCCTGCTCTAGGCCCAGCACAGCTGTGCAAGCCTGTAAACCTAGCAGTCTATGAGGCTGAGGCAGGAGGATCACAAGTTTGAGCCTGCTAAACCTGGGCAACTTAGTGATATGTTTTAGTAAAAAATACAAAAGGGCTGGGATGCCACTCAGTGTGAAGGCCCTGGCTTCATTCCCCAGTATGAACAAAACAAAACTGACTAGGGAGTTGGCTTTTGTGCATGGCCAAGAACAGGAGGATGTGGCACAAAAACAAGGGGAAGCAAGGAAGGGAGGACTCACCTGCAGCAGCACCCCACTGTGAGCATCTACATTGGGCCAAGGATTCTTGGCCTTGCCCTGTTCTAGGAGAATATTGGGCACAATCTTATACAGCTGAGCGACCAGCTTAAACATGGGGTCATTGGGCAGGTGTTTCAGAGCAAACTCTCGCTGACAGGAATATCGTGGATCAGTCTTCCTTAGTACTGCATGGCCATAGCCTGGGACAACCTATAAAGGGGCGAGAAGAAAAGACAGCTGGTATTCTCAGATGGAATTTTTTTCTAAATTCTTTAGGGTAGACAAATGTGAAAAAAAAATTTCCTTGTCTACTTTATTAACCTCTCTAGTTTTTTTTTTTCTTTTCTTGTGTGTGTGTGTGTGTGTGTGTGTGTGTGTGTTTTGTCTTCCACAATTCTCATTTTTTTCTTTTTAACTCTTTCAATCTGCAGGACTTGGATGTTGACTTCTTTCCTAGTAGCTAAGCATTTCTGCTTACCCGTCCTGAGTTGAGTGTGTTCCAGATGTAGTCTCGTAATTTCTCATCTGACACATCTTTGCCAACTTCCTTTTGTAGTTGTGTTAGCCAGACAAGTACTTCCTAGGGTAATGTTTGGGAAAAAAGGAATATCAATACATATGCCAGAAGACAACACCAAACACAGGAACAAAGCATGGGGTAAGAAAAACATGGGGGCAGGAAAAGAATAAGAACAGCCTTACCTGATTCGCTAGTCCATGTAAAGGCCCTGCCAGCCCATTCATGGCTGCTGCAAATGACAGGTAAGGGTCTGAAAGGGCACTGCCCACCAAGTGGCTGGTATGGGCACTTACATTGCCACCTTCATGGTCACTGTGGAGACGTAAGGGAGAAAGAAAGGGCAGATATAGAAATAGACCTTGCTATTCTTTTTTTTTGGTACCGGGGATCGAACTCAGGTCCTTGCACTTGTGAGGCAAGCGGCAGAACCATTGAGCTAAATCCCTGGCCCAACCTTGCTATTCTTTTGTCACATCCTAGCCTAGTTATGAGCTTATACCAGTCTATAGCCAGTCAGTTATACGTAAGCTTTCATTACTCACTTTTGTTCACCAGTCAACAGAGGTGAAGAAATTACCAGTTGATGCTTGTGTGCCCTGCTCTCTAACTCCCACCCAAGTGCCCCCCCCCCCCCCCCGCCGGTTCAGTGCTGGGAACTGAGCCCTGGGCCTTGCACATGCTTCAGCAAATGCTCCACCAGAGTTACATCCCTACATCCCTATCCCCAGCTTTAAAAACAATGGCCACAAGAGGGAGCACCTGCAAAGCTGAAGGGCAATCTAAGGTTTGAGTTTCTGCCCTGGGCGGGGGCGCACACCTGTAATCCCAGCACCCGGGAAGTTGAGGCAGGAGGATCGCCACAAGTTTGAGGTCAGCCTGGGCTACACAGTGAGTTCAAGGCCTGCCTGAACTACACAGCAAAACCCTGTCTCAAAAAACCAAAATACTAAATAAATAAACCTTGCAAGTTCCTTTTCCCAGCTAGAAGCACCTTCTAGTTCTCAGCATGGTTATGGTAATTTTCCTCCTAGGCCACCTGACCTTATTAGACCCCCTCCCTGCCTTTCTGGACACAGGTGTGCCACCACGCCTGGCACTGGATCCTTTTTTTGCCTTGTAGCATCCCTTAAAACATATTTTCATTTCTTTGCTGCATATCATCTGTTCCCAGGAGGTAGAAATATTAAAACTTAAAAAAAAAAAACTTTCCTACAATCAAGGCACCCATAGCTATGGTTGCTGGGGCTGGCTCACCTGTGGATAGTGAGGTATAAGCGCATGAGTTCCGTGAACTGAGCATCAGTATAGCCTAACATGTTGGTGAAATTGTGGGACCAGTCCAGTTTAGAGTCAATGGCCCCAATACTACTGCCCTCGCGGTAAAGATTCCGGTAGATCTTTGCTGCAATACAAGGTAGCTTTGCAATCAGATCCATACAGTCTTCATAAATCAACTGATGACAGAAAAGGAAGATGGAGAAAAAAAAAAGGCATTACCAGCAAAGCAGAATTTGGCAGGGATATGGTTTGTCCTCCATAGTTTGGGCTATTTGTGTTGACAGTTATGTTTCAAGGGATGGAATAACAAAAATAACCATTACCAAATAAACTGACCCAGGCATTTCACTTAATAACTTATAGTAGTTTGGGTTTCCCCCGCCCCCAGAGTCTTGCTATGTAATTTAGGCTAGCCTCCAACTTACTATGTAGCCCAGGGTGGCCTCAAAAATCACGGCAATCCTCCTGCTTCAGCCTCCCCAGTGCTGGGATTATGTATATGCCATCATGCTTGAATTATAATAGTAAATCACATGCACTAAAACATTATTCTCTATTGCTTTTTTTTGAGACAGGGTCTTGCTGTGTAGTTCAGGCTGGGCTTGAACTTGCAGCAATCCTCCTGCTTCAGCCTCCCAAGTACTAGGATTATAGGCATGCACCACCCATGCCTGGCACTAAAACATTATTCTCAATTCTTACCATCCCACTCAATATATAATAGCCACCATTTATGTAGAGAGAACTGAGACTCAAAATATTCAGCTGGATGTCAAATCTTTCCGAATATCATGACTTTACACTAAATGAATGTGCTAAGACACAAGGTTTTAATATTTTTATGTTTTGTCTTCAAAAAAAATTCAGTAATATACAAAGATCAGACAGCGGCATTCAATTTTTTAGTTTTTTTTTTATAGCTGCACTGGGGATTGAACCCAGGGTCTTTGCAGTGAGGTATTTTGAGATGGGGTCTAAGTAGCTAAGTTGCTAGGTTGGATTGAATTTTTGATTTTTCTGCTCCAGCTCCCAGAGCACTGGGATTATAGCATTATAATTATTATAGCACCACAGCATTAAGCAGTCATTTTCTTTTTTTTTTTTTTTTGGTACTGGGGATCAAACTCAGGTCCTTGTGCTTGCGCAGCAGGCCACGAAACCACTGAGCTAAATCCCCAGCCCCCTAACCCCCAGCAGTCACTTTCTAAAAGATGGAATTTCAGAGTAGAAAAACGGCTTAATGTTTTCTGTTATGGAGACCTATACAGATAATTACTTGTACAATATTTTAAAAATAAAATGAAAATGTTATATGATTTATTACCCATGTTGCTATGTAGATCACATCCCGTGCCCCCATATCTGTCTCCTGTCTCCATCCATCTATCCATCTATCTATCTTTGCTGTACTGGAGAATGAATACAGGGCCTTTGCACTAAGCTATCTCTCCAGGCCTTTTAAAATTTTGAGATAGGATCTTGCTAAATCACTTGGGCTGGGCTCAAACTTGGGCATCCTCTTGCCTCAGGCCCCCAGAGTGCTGGGATTACAGGTGTGCACCACCATGACCAGCAGATGTGCTGCTTTCTTTATAATTACTTTAAATTAACTGGTAGTGCATGGCTATAATCCCAGCACTCTGGGAGGTTAAAGCAGGAGAATCCAAATTCAAGCCCAGCCTGAAGCCTGGGGAATTTAGCTACTCAGCAAGACTATTTAAAAAGAGCTGGTGCGCCAGGGATTTAGCTCAGTGGCACTGCACCTGCCTCACAAGGTCTTGAGTTCAATCCCTGGTACCAAAAAAATAAAAAAATAAAAGGGCTGTAACTAGAGCTCAGTGGTAGAATGCCCCGGGCTTTCAGCCCCAGTAACAAAAAAATGAATGAATGAAAATTTTAAAAATTTAAAAAGACTCAGAGATATAGTTCAGTGGAAAGATGCTGGATTCAATCCCCAGTGCCGCAAAACAAAAATAAAAACAGGCCGGGATTTAGCTGAGTGGTGCTGCTGCCTGCCTTACAAGCGCAAGGTCCTGAGTTCAATCTCTGGTACTAAAAAAACCAAAAAACCAAAAAACCCCGCAAAAAACAGGCAAACAAACTTTAAGTTGTTCATGGCTCTTTTTTTTTTACCATTTCATTCTATAACATTTTACCACTTCATTCTATAACAATCTCCCCCATGCCAACCAGATTAATATCAATTTCAAACCCTCCTTTTCTCCCCCAACAGCAACAAAACTTTTTTTTGGTATGGGGGATGGAACTCAGAACCTTGTACCTGAGAGGCAGGTGTGGTGCCACTGACTTAAATCCTCAGCCCAGCCCTCTATTTTTTTTTAACAATTTTTTTCTTTTTTTTTTTGTTTGGTACCGGGGATTGAACTCGGGTCCTTGCGCTTGCCCAGCAGGCGGCGAAACCACTGAGCTAAATCCCCCGCCCTCTATTTTGTTTTTGAGATGGGGTCTTGGTCTCAAACTGGTAAGCTCAAGTGACCCACCCTCCTGCCTCAGCCTCCTGAGTAGCTGGAACTAAAGCTATGTATCACCATGCCCAGCTAACAAGATTTAGCACAGTTAGCAAATAAATATTGACCAAACAAAGCAGGATTTGCCAGGTTTCATAAGACCAGTGTATCATGCTATTCAGGGTCTTGCATCATAATAAACACTTCAAGGCCTTCTGGTGGTTGACATCTCAGGTCAAAATCCACCTAGTGTGCCAGGCGCTTTGGTACACGACAGTAATGCCAGCTATTCGAGAGGCTGAGGCAGAAGAATTTTTTTTCCCAGTACTGGGGATTGAACTCAGGACACCTTGTGCTTGCCAGGCAGGCACACAACCACTGAGCTACATCCTTGGCCCCTGAGGCAAAAGAATTTTAAGTTTGAGGTCAGCCAGGGCAATTTAGCAAGATCTTGTCTCAAAATATACAGCCAGGTGTGGTGGCGCATGCTTGTACTTCCAGCACTCTGGGTCTGAGCCCAGCCTGGGTAACCTAGCAACTGAGACCTTCTCTCAAAAGAATTGGGGATGTAGCTAAGCGCAGAGGCCCCGAGTTCAATGCTAGTACCCAAGGAATGAATAAATAACTAGGGCTGGAGCAGGTGGGCATGGTGGCATATGCCTGTAATCCTGAACTTCAGGAGGCTGAAGCAGGAGGACTGCCTCAAGTTTGAGGCCAGCCTGGGCTTCACAGTGACTTGAAGTCCAGGCTGAACTACATTGTGAGACCCTGTCTCAAAAACAAACAAACAAACAAAGGCTGGGGATGAACATCAATGATAGTGTCCCTGGGGGCCAAGGATTTACCTCAGTGGTTCTGCTGCCTACCTTGCAAATGCAAGGATCCAAGTTCGATCCTGTTACCAAAAAACCAAACAAACAAAAAAAAGTGCCCCTGGGATCAACCTCTAGTCCTGGGGGAAAAGTCATTTAGTGTAGCTGGGGCTTTTTTTGGTTTTTTTTGGTACTGGGGATCGAAGTCAGGATCTTGCACTTGCAAGGCAGGCAGTGGAACCACTGAGCTAAATTCCTGGCCCAGCATAACTGTTTTGTAAAAAGAAATTTTGCTGTCTCTACACTATCTGTCTCCAAATAAGAAACTAAACAAAATGGGATAAACCTAGCTATGTAATTTGTACTTTACCCAGTGTTTGTGAGTATGTGGGGAATTGGAAGAGAATGGAACCACGAGTTCAAACTTTTTTTTTTTGGTACTGGGGGGTCGAACTTGGGCCCTTGTGCTTGTGCAGCAGGCGACAAAACCACTGAGCTAAATCCCCGGCCCATGTTCAAACTTTTTTTCCCCTAGCACTGGGAATAAATTTAGGACCTTATGCATACTAGGCTAGTGCTCGATCAGTGAGCTATATCCCCAGTCCTTTCTATTTTATTGAGACAGGGTCTCATTAAATCACACAGGTTGTCCTTGAACTTGGGTTCTTCGCCCCTCAGTCACCCAAGTAGTTGGGACCATATTTGTGTGCCACTGCTCAGCCCGAGTTCAAACTATTAAGTACACATTTCATTTTCAGAAAATAAAGCTCATTTGTTTTGGGATCCTATTCCTAGGATACTAACTTCCTTTCCACTCTTGACAGATATCTTGGGTGGCTCATGGCATCAGTACCTTAGGCTCTAGAGGTGCCTTAGCTGTATCTACTCAACTTTATGATTTCTCAAGGTTCTCTTTATTTGAAGAAGAGGGGGAAGGAAGTGACCCTCTGAAGCTAGGTTAAGACTGCTTTGTTCGGTTAAGTCACATCCTTTCTAATATTCCAACAATCCTTTGTACATACCTCTATTGCAGCAAGATTACAGAATTATATTTTCTTACATGTATTATCAATAATCAAATCAAGAACCTCAGTGATAGAAAGCGTGTTTTTTTTTTGTAACAGGGATTGAACTCGGATCCTTGCGGTTACGCAGCAGGCGGCGAGACCACTGAGCTAAATCCCCGGCCCGAAAGCGTGGTTTTTTACCTTTGTAATCTCAACAACAGACATAAAAGTAATCCTGTAGTGAAAATGTTTTCTTTTTCTGTTTTTGGTGCTGTGGATTGAATCTGAGGCCTCAAGTTTGATTAGTATACTTTCTACCACTCAGCTACCCCCCATTATGCCCTGCACATTTGTTAAATATGTTTCTGGCATAATTCAGAAGTAATCCTCCTGAAGGTTCTATATTCCCTATTCTCCTTTCATACTTGAGTCTTCTGAATCCCCATCACACATCAATCAGCCAATTCAAATTTCCTACCTCCCAATACTTGGTTCGGTTGATACCCTCTGCATATGCCCGGGCAAAGTTACTTTCACTGTTGAGGGCTGTAACAGCTGCACTTAGCTGAGACATAGGGTGTAGATTGGTAGGAAAGTTGTCCAGCATGGTGACCACATGAGAAGGCAGAGCGGCTCTCTTTGCCCACTCTTTTGAGAGCCAAGATACCTGTGGAAAAGCAGATACTGCTCAGGACACTATCAAAGAAAAGGAAAGAAAAATAAAAGAACAATGACATTTGAACAAAGAAAATACAAGAACAGTCAACACAATCCACTTGCACATTTCTATAAGCTACCACTCACAGCCAGATCAGGATTAAGCATCTAAGATTAGAGAAAGGAAAAGGAGAAGGGGGATGAGAAGGGCTAATATCCTTCTTCTTTCTTTACCTGTTCTTCTGTTGGGATCTGTCCAGTTACCAGCAGCCAGAATAAACCTTCAGGCAGGGGTTCTTCCCCACCCTTAGCCTTGGGCAGCAGTTTCTGGCATTCAGGGATACTATGGCCTCGGAAGCGGATGCCCTTGAGGGAGAAGAGTGAGAATTAAGACTCGTTTATTGGCCTGTAAGTCCTACTCATATCAAACGTTTTATTTTTTTTATTTTTTATTTTTTTTGGTACCAGGGATTGAACTTGGATCCTTGCGCTTGCGAGGCAGGCGACGGAACCACTGAGCTAAACCCTGGCCCTCATATCAAACATTTTAACCATTTAGGATTTTCAAAACTTACAGCCTCGTATATTTATGTCTGCATTTTTGTATGTGTCACTGGTGATGGAACCCAGGGCAGTTCTACTACTGAGTTACACCCTTTGGAGACAGGATCTCCCTATGTAGTTCAGGCTGGCCTTAAACTTACAGTGATCCTCCTGCCTCCAGTTCCCAGGTTGCTAGGTTACAGGAGTGTGCCACTGCACCCAGCTTTAGCTTGTTTAGTGCTCTTATTTTGTACTTTGATATATTAAAAAGGTAAAAAAATTTCCCCCAGTTATTCCATATAACTTATGTTCTACCTTCCAAAGTATGAAAGTAGGTAATTTGTGCTGTTCTTTGTACCCTCCACTGGTCTAACCCATGGTCTTGCATGTTTGGTTTGCAAACCAGTTTGTATGACCAGTACACTCAATGATATTAGTGACTGACAAGATGATGTCTTACCTCATCAGGATCAAGAACTGAGGTTTCATATACCAGTCCCTTCATGCCTCTCATGCCACCATACATCTAAAAAAAAGAGGGTGTAACCAGTAGTCAGAATTATTCAGGCTAGGGCTTATTAGTTTCATGGAACCTGGGAGAAAAAAACAATTCTCTTCACTTAGGGGAGAAAAATTTCTGGAGAATTTACTAAATGATTGAATTTTGCAGATACTAATGCCAGAAATGAAAACTTTAAGTTGAGAAATTACTATCTTTCTTTACTGTTTCTGCTTGTGTTTTATTTTCTTACTATAATTTTTCTGCTCACTCTTAACCTCTCCTCCTGACTCCCAACAAAAGTAAACAGATGAGATTTATTACAGAGATAGGGAAGAAACCAATGGCTAAAAAGTGCTATAGAATTATCACCTGTGTTGCTCAAACTCTTAATGTTGGAGGGAAAATCATCCTAAAGCTGTTCTAGAGGACCTATTAGGGCTATGGTTGAACTGGATGGCTGAGAAAGTATCAACTCAAATACACAGTCCTGGCTCCAAAAGCTGAGGGGTCAGGAACAGGTCTAGAAACTACATTCATCCTTCCTATAGGTGAATTAGGTTTAATTCAAATATTAAATCTGTAGAAAAGAACAATCTAATCTCTAATGAACACCATAAGCCTCAATATTTCCTTGCATGGGACAGCATACTTTTATTTTTTTATTTTTTATTTTTTTTCACTTTCCAAGTTTCAATTGTCCATGGTCAGTTGTGCTCAAAATAAGTATTGTCAGAATATCAGTAATAACCTAATGCCTATGTCATTCACCTTGCTTCATTTCATCATGTCAGCATTGTATCTCACATTATTACAAGAGTAGAGTGCAATATATTTTGAGAGAGATCACATTCACATTAACTTACTACAGTATGTTAAGATTCTATTTCATTGTTGTTAATCTCATACTGTGTCTAATTTATAAATTAAAGTTTATCATAGGTATGTATATGCTGTAACAATGTATATATTCGGATTTCTAATCCATGGCTCCAAGCTTCTAAGTCCCTCTTCATGGCAGGCCATACAAACTGAATTTCTCTTCCCCAAGATAGCTTAGAGAAACTAATCTTCTCCCAGTGTTCTGTCTTAGTGCTGGTTATAAAGAAATTCTCTGATCTACCTTCTCTAATAGTAAATCGTAAGACCCTTATTTCAAATGGAGGAATGCCCAGGAGGAAGGGATATTACACAGAGAGTCCAAGAAGAATCTTGGCAAGCCTTGGTGAACTTCCTCACTCCATCCATCATCATTAGATCATACCCTTTTTGTGCAATCCACATTTCTCCATGGTTATCTAAGCTCAGTCATTCTATGCAATGAAGTCTCCATAAAAACCTTTGTCCCTCAAAAAACTTATTAATGTTGAAACAAAGGGTGTACTCTCTTCCTGGGCCCTCCCTTTGGCAGCCCAGTGGAACCAGCAGAGCCTTCATAATTTTAGTCTTTTCTCCATTCTCCAGGTCTTCACTTTTCCTGCAGTAAACCCTTCAGCTAGTGTAGGGGATGTTACTAGGACCTCTGTAGTAAGTCCTAGTCTCCTTCGAGCCATGGCAGCACAAGGTGAATTAACTTATTATATAGGAAAGGTAGAAAAAATGAGACTTTGAGAAGAAGCTGAGCTTTGGGTCTCGGGACAGAATACTTTTAAACAGTTAGTGAAAAGAATGGTACTTTTGTTGAAGTATACGTCAAGGCCTGCTTTTCCCAGCCAAGACCCCACACAACTCTTACCATGTCCACAGTGATTTGGCCCACCACAGTCTTGCCATGTTGCTGTCTGAAGGCCTTAATTCTGCCCTGTTCCTTAGGTATCAGGTTGGCCAATATGTCTTTCAAATTCTAGAAAGAGAAGTAGAAGGGTTAAGTAATGATCAAAAAGTTTGAGACTTCCTGCAGAGTATATGAAGAGAAGACTCTTTCTCTATCTGTGAGGAAAGTCTGGTCAACTACTCTGTCTGTATCCATGATGGTAAAAGAATTAAGACAGGGAAAGCCATGCCTATAACCCAGTTACTTGGGGAGCTGAGGCTGAAGGCCAGGCTGAGGTATCTACAGAGACTTTGTCTTAAAAAAAAAAATAGGGAGGGGGCCAGGGATTTAGCTCAGTGGTTTCGTTGCCTGCTGAGCAAGCGCAAGGACCGGAGTTCAATCCCTGGTACCCCCCCCCCAAAAAAAATAGGGAGGAATGAGAAATGGAGAGTATGGGGAGTTGTAGTTTAACCACTTACCAGTCAGTCTAAGATGGTGGTAGGTGGTTTAACCACTTACCAGTACAGAATGATCAAAAATTGCATATTTTTGTTGATTTTATAAGATAACAGGAAATATAAAAACGATAATTTTATCATATTTATTCAATACAAGAATCGACTGGTTGAAATGACACCTATCCAAGCAATGCTCAGGGTAAACTGTTAAGTGGCTAATGGGTAGTTTCAATTTGGAGAGATTAAAGTTTTGGATATGGATGATGCTGATGGTTGCACAAATATGTGAATGTACTTACTGCCACTGAACTATACATTTAAAAATGATTAACGTAGTACATTTTATATTCTGCAGCAGGCTAGGAGTGTAGCTTAGTGGTAAAGTGCTTGCCTAGCATGTGCAAGGTGTGGATTCAATTCCCAACACTGAAAAAAGAAAAATATTTTTTTGTTTTGTTTTTGGTTTTTGTTTTTTTGGTACCAGGGATCGAACTCGGGTCCTTGCGCTTGCAAGGCAAGCGACGAAACCACTGAGCTAAATCCCCGGCCCAAGAAAAATATTTCTGTCATGTATAATTTATGATTTAAAAACTTACATGAGGTACAAGTATTTGTATTTCCCATTTCACGACACCACAGAATCAATTCATTCCTTTCATGACCTTTCTTTTTTTTTGATGGCACTGGAGACTGAAGCCAGGGCCTTACACATATGCTAGGCAAGTACCCTACCAGGGAGCTACATTCCTACCCTCTCCCAACTTTTTTTCAGCATTGAAGATTAAACTCAGGGACTTCTGCATAAGCTACATCCCCAGTGCTTTTTGCCTCCCAGGTGCTGGGACTATAGGCATGTGACAACACTCCCAGCCCTAGCCCTTTTATTTTTTTATTTTTTGGTGCCAGGGATCAAACTTGGGTCCTTGTGCTTGTGAGGCAGGCGGCAGAACCAGTGAGCTAAATCCCTGGCCCTTGATTTGGTTTTTTAAGACAGAGTCCCACTTTGTAGTTCAGGCTGACCTTGAACTCATTATGTGAGCCAGGCTGGCCTCAAACTCACAGTGGTCTGCCTGCCTCAACCTCCTGAGCCCTGGGATTACAGGCATGTGCAACCACGCCCAGCTAGTCCTTTTATTTTTAATTAAAAAAAAATTTCGGGGTGCTGAGGATTTATCTCGGTGGTGCTGCCACCTGCCTCACAAGCGCAAGGTCCGGAGTTCAATCCCTGGTACCAAAGAAAAACAAAAAAAACAAACAAAAAAAACCCCCCAAAACAAAAAGGGCCGGGGATTTAGCTCAGTGGTTCCACTGCCTGCCTTGCAAGCGGAAAGACCTAAGTTCGATCCCCGGTTCCAAAAAAACCAAAGAAACAAACACAAAAAAGCACAAAATTTTTTATTTTGAGGGCAAAGATCTTACTATGTTGCCCAAGTTGGCCTCAAATTTATGATCCTCTTGCCTTAGCTTCCTGAGTAGTTGGGATTATATAGGTGCATTACAGCACCCAGAGAGTAAATTGCTCCTTAAAACAATAGAATAATTATTGTTGTAATAATAACGGTAGTAACAAATACTTTCAGGACACGCAGGATAATGGTAAGAAGCTAGGTGGTTGCCACACACTCTGTCTCAGGGTCAGATTGCCCTAGTAATTCTGTCTCTTTTAAAAACCTTACCGTGGAAGAAGCACTGGCATGACGGGCAGCAAGAACAAGACAGGATGAATTCTGCAAAGAAAAAAAAAAATCTTTATGTAATACTTACTTCTCTCTCCCTTGTATTAAAAGAAAGAGTTGCAGTGACTCAACCTTTCTTCATATGACAGTTTGACATAAGAAAGCTGCAAAGGCCATCAAACAGCTTGGGAGGCATTAACACTCTGAGACAGCAGCAGTTTTAACTGCCTATTGTAGCCATACCTTCAACAGCATTCCCTGAAAAATCTTTTATGTCACCTGGGTTCCAGAGCAGGGCAGTTGTTAAGAGTATCCATCCAGTCCACCCTGCTCTAATTGCTAGTACTTCTTTTTTTTTGGTACCGGGGATCGAACTTGGGACCTTGGGCTTGCAAGGCAGGCGCTGGAACCACTAAGCTAAATCCCCAGCCCTAATTGCTAGTACTTCTGATCCCCCCAAGGAAAATGAATGAAGAAATCAACCAATTACTAAATCTGCTGGTAAGATCTCTCCAGCACACAGTGTTCTGGCAGCATTCAACCTCTCCAGTGTAGGAGGATGCATAGGCAGAGGGCAGCTTTGCACAGTAGTACTTCTAACCCTTCTGGTAAAGCACAGGGAAGATGGAAAACTAAATAAGTAACTGACAGGCTGTTCCACTGCTCCCAGCCTAGAGGAGGTGAGCCAGGCGGGTGACAACAGCAAAGGCCCCCCCGCCACCACCAGTGAGAAGATACTTAAACAAGTTTAAAAACCAGACTTCCAGATCACCTACAGCAACCCCAAAGGAAAATGAGATGGAATACTGATACTCAACCACCTGGACACCCTGAACTGGCAACAAAAGAGGATGTGGAAAAAATGAAATCAGAAATAATTTCTCTGATAATAGCAGAGATTGTGCCCATAGTACAAGACATGATTAATAAATCTAGGGCCAGGGATTTAGCTCAGTGTTTTTGCTGCCTGCTGTGCAAGCACAAGGATCGAGTTTGATCCCCGGTACCTAAGTAAGTAAGTAAGTAAATAAATCTAGAGAAGACACAGACAAAAAAAATAGAGGATCTGAGGAACATGATGGAATCCCAGCATAGGAAACAAATGGAATCCATAAAACAAATACAAACAGATTTCCAAGAGATTAAATACTCCATTGAAAGTCTACACAGCAGAATGAGCCAATGTGAGGACAGAATTTCAGATATAGAAGATAAGATTGCAATTAGTGACCAGGAA